CATATATATATACACAATGTCAGAACCATAATGCAGAACAGTTAGTCTCAGGATAAAGCTTTGTGTTATTTTGTCACTCATCCAGAGGGTGCTGTTGCAGTACTGTGTTTCATCATGGTGTTGGTCACTAACAACAAGCTTTCTGCTGTTCAATAAAATAATAAACTCTTTAAGGAAAAGTCTTTACAGTAATGTCAGATGATGTTTAGCTCCTGTTTTAAATTATGATAATCCAAACTTGGAGATATTCATAATAGTGATAACTGGTAGATAATTAGTTATTAGTGGTACTGCATTTTAATTTTAGAAAGCACAAATCCGCTTATGAATTATAAAAATTAGTAAAACCGCTAAAGTACAATAGACATATTTAGGTCTGTAATTAGTGGATTTGTGCTTTAGTGGACTGGTGCCCACCACTGGTAATCACCAACAGTGAATTTAGAGGGGTGTTTAATGTTTCTGATTCAGTGACAGGTCTACACAGATCATCATGCAACCTTCATAACATAAAATGACACTGTGTTATGGTGACAAAAAATAAAATAAAAATGTGTCACAATAAGTCAGATTACAGGCAGATGTTCTGTATATAAAGAAAAACATCACTTCTTTGAGCTTGGTGATGTTTTACACTGTTAAACACTGCCACCAACTGTTCAGGAGGATTATTACACCCCTAAAGGCTGTTTCACTGTGTGAGGGCTGTGTACAGCAGGGTGGCCAAAGATTTGTCTGTGGTGGCCCTGGCCACCCCCGGCCACCCCTGGCTCCGCCCCTGGCCACCCCTGGCTCCGCCCCTGCCCCAAAGTGATTTAGTTGAATAGCCATTACATCAGATTGTTCTCTACAGTCGGTGCTGTTGTAGCACTGCTCTGTTCACATGCAGACATTCCTCTCTGACATCACTTCCTGTTTCTTCACATGCAAACATCTCAACTGTTCACATTAGTGACATGAAATTTATTCTGCAGTATTTTATCGTCGTCATTTTTCCAAAAATACTTTATGTATTATAAAAATCTGATGTCACAGGCACTTGAATGCTCACTTCTGATCTGCTGCTCTGCTGTAGTTTTATTGTGAAGAAAGTTTTAATTCAGACATTAAAGTTTCCCTGTGCCACTTCAGGTTTAAGAGCGTCCACTGCCATCTGTATCCAGACACTGAGTGGTGTCCAGAACCTGAGCCGGGACACAGAACCTGACTGATCTGTGAGTGTCCTGCAGCACAGAGGCAGCTTCCCTCTGAACAGCTCACCTTCAGCTCTGGAAGCAAACGTAAAATATACCAAAAATCAACGTTGAGTTCAGAAGAACAACCTGGTGGCTGAACAGAGATTGAAGCTAAACGTCACAGTTCATCCCACTGCTGCAGGTGCAACAAGTCTACGTTTTAACGTCTGTACTTGTCATTTACCCATAATGCCTTGAGAGGAGATGAGCTGACAACATGTGAGTAACAAAGAACTAATCTGAATCACACCATCACAAAGGTCATTAAAGTTATGTTTAGGGTTTTTAACTGGAGTGCTGTGGTAAATTACAACTAACAATATCTTACCTGTTGTAGATGGCTCCATGACAAGTTCAGTTTGGAGAAATCTTTTAATTTTAACTGGACTGATGGGCTAATGGCCAGTCAGAGGTGGGCTGCTGTCATCTTAAAGGTTCATTCTCTAAAATATCACTTCATATTAAAATCTGTTTGATTTACAGGATATGGTGATATAAGTGTCAGCGGCAGCAGGACAAAGTGAAATAATAGGAACAAATAAGCTACAGAAAGCATTGCTGTGTGATTTATTTTCATTATTATTGTGTAAATTAATATTGTGGCTTTGCAGTTACTTTATTTAATGACGTGTTCAACGTGAACTGAAATGACTGGTGGGTTTCCTCATCAGTCCCAGCAACCATTACAACATGATGGTTTAATGTGCAGCTCAGTGAGGAGGAGAAAACAGGAACTGTTCACTGTGGAGGGAAACCTCTGAGTCAGAAATAAACTTCAAAACAACATTAAATTCAGTCATCTCACTAAGTCAAGGTTTGATTTAAGCTCTGGTGATGATAAAAAACTGATTGAAACCAGTTAAACAGAACAAAGAGCTCCTTCTCTGGAGGACAGTTCTTCTTCTAGCTTTCCTCTACATTTTCATATTTAAGGTTTGAACCGCCCCAGGCAGGATTTCAGGTGGCCTCGTACAGTTTTCTAAATCTCTCTGCCCGTTTACACACAGTTTTATCTTTGATTTTATCTTTCATTTTTAGATATTTAACCACATCATTCATTTGAAACAGAAAACCAGAAGTTTACCTCATACCTGCCAKCATCTGCTGACATCATGAGGAACACCTGTTCATGTTAACCAGCTGCTGTTGACTGAAGCAGTTCTAGGGGGGGTCCGGGGGGGTTACTCCTCTGAAAAACTTGTAAAAATTTTGTGTAAACTTTGCATTTTCCATCTGTTTGCAGTAGGGCTGTATGATATTAGGAAAACCTGTGATGTGTGACAGCAGTGTTGCGATGACGACATCACTTGTGATAAATGAACAAATATATAAGGTTGTAGTGTTGATGTTTAGTTTATTTACACAATAAAAATATAAATCAGTTCAAAGAAGAACAAAGATAATGACTGCAGGAAGAGACAAAAGCTCAGCAGGCTTATAGAAAGCCCCCACCTCCAAATAAAGACACCACTTACAAAAATATGAATGGGAATTTAAATAAAATATAAATAACAATAACAAAAGTCACAATCACAACTCTTTTAATAATGTAGAGTTTTAGAAAACTGTTTCACAGAAGGCCTGCCTTCTGCTAAGTGTGAAAATCCACTCCACAGTGTGTCTGTCCTGAATCACAGTCCAGCAGATGTCTTTCTGCTCTGGGTTCAGAGCAGAAATAAAAATAAAAATAAACTACGGTAATAATTTTATTTC